TCACTGGGAGGCTGGGAGCGTTGCTACGCGCGCATGTGTGTGCGCACACTGAGTTCGTGACGCCCTAGGTGGTAATGGCAACACACATTCCTATCCACACTCTCGTAGGCATCTTCTTGCTTACAGAGCAGGCACAAAAAACGGGGGGGCGGGAACTCACCAAGGACGAGACTTTCCAGGCGCGTTAACCTAACGCCCGCGAAAGCAAGGGCCTCAAACAGGGAGTTTCTGGTGTGCCAAATCTGCAGGGCCACGTGGTTCAGTGACATCTGACCAGCTACCAACAGCAGTCCGACGTCCATCTCGGTGGCATCCTTGTTGCCCGCAAGGACCAGACGTTGAAGGTTGCGGAAGGGGTGTGCCGGAGCTAAATCCGCGTCGATTATTGCCTCGATGAGGCCGTCTGTGGGAAGTGAGAAAGGGTGGGGTAATAAGCTCTGTGACTGTGGGTAGGTGAAAAGCTGTGAATGCTACTGTGCAACTGCGCCCTCATTTTGTAAAATCACGTGTCTTAAAGCAAAATAATCCAGCGAAGAGGGAAGTTTTGTCTATCATAGATGGCTTCGTGATGTAATACTGGCGCAGAATTCTCCAGGTTGGCCAAACCTGGCATTGCACTCAATAGCAGCGATTTAATGCTGGAAGGAAGGTGAGATTACGAGTTTGGATGGTGGTGTGGTGGCGGAACCATAGTTCAAAATATTGGTAGCGTAATTACCATCTGTGAACTGATAAAGATAATTAGGCTATTTGGTGTGCACACACTATTTTACTTATACGGTTAGCGACAACGTGAACATGATCATTCGTTCTGCCCTGGCTATTTCGAACATCACGCAAAACGACGTCTCCATGGTATCGCGGATCGTACACTTCCGTACGTGAAGACCTGCGGCAAAATAACGTGAATGCTCGGTATTGAGAGTTACAGTCGGTAGCATCATCAAGGCCAGCTGGATCAGACATGATCGCAGCTGTAACAAGTACAAGTAGCAAGCATTTTCGAAGAGCGAGGTCGACAGAAATACGGAAGGAGAAGCCTGGCGGTAGGAAATTCCGATTTAAAAAAATGCATATTAAACGCTTCAATGTGGGAGTGGGATGTTTGTCTGAAAGTCATCGGGACTTAAGTTCGAAGTGTTTTTGCATATAGCCCTAGAAAGGGGACACGCAGGATAAGGTATGGCCTGAGGCAAATGCGTTGAGTTAACTCGGTCAAACTCTGGGAGACTTACCCACAAATCGGGTTGCCACAAGCTCCATCCGCATAAGCTGGGGAGCGCGCGCGAGTGCGGCGAAGATGGAACCGTACCGTCGTGCGCGTGCTGGTCCGATACAGTTATTCATAACGAAGGACTGTAGTTTGATGGCTGAGAAGCTGGAAAAAGGATCTGCTGAGGCGAAAACCA